TTTTACTGAATATAAGATGTTTTAATTCAAATGATATCTGATTCTTATGAATAAAGAAGACTTTTCAAAAGAAAAATTGTATGAAAGCTTAGTTTGGACATTTTATAGCAATTTAAAATTACTACCTATCACCTTTAGCATGACAATGACAATAAAATTTTTATAAAAATTGTTAGACTGATTTTTCATTATATCAATAATAAAGTCTTATAAGATTGTAAGTATGCTTTATTTTATCACCTTGCTTTTTCACGACTTGACTGTGGTTTTCAAATTTCTGACCAGTTGAACAGTTTGGTTTTATAAAACAAATTGCAACTTGGTCAGAATTTTGAATAAATTGCAATAGGTGGAGAGTAACAGTCAAGTCACAGTAAACGAGCCCGTTGATTAAGACACGACATTATATAAATAACACATAGCTGAGAGGGTGATAGAGCAGATTGGTACCCGAGAAAACACTGTCAACCGCGGCGAAGCCAAGGTTGACAATGCTTTTTCGAGGGATACCAATCTGCTCTATCACCCTCTCAGCTATGTGTTATTTAATTTATTATACTGAATGTCCTATCATTATTGTCTTTTACAGATAAATTTTATTCAAAAGTATTTTCTATGACGATACATAACAACGTTACGGAGATTAGAAGTGAAGCAAGATGTTTTATTTTTTTATTTTGACAGTCAAATAATAGAATCTGGGCCAAAACGTAGAACTTAAGCATGGTCTTTAATAACTTGATGTAATTTCAATTCATTGTCGTTTAACATGTTTAAATCATCGATTTTTGATTGGTCTGGACGAAAGGGTGACATTCAAAAAATTGTCACCCGCTCAGCCATGTGATAGAGTAAATTAACACCCCTCGTATTAGCCAATCAAAATATGGCATTTTTACGTGAAGTATAATAAAGTAAATTATCTACTTCGTATTCACCAATCAAAATCTTGCATTTTGACATGAAGTATAATAAATTAAACTTATCGATTTTTTCTAATTTTATCAATTGAACAATGTAATAATATCTTTGAAAATTGTTTTTATCGGTACAAATACTGATTTTGTTATATATAGAAATCTAACTAAATAGTTTTGCTATACAGCTATGAACTTTTACGGACCTACATGTTTGTCGATACTTATATTTTAGCATTGTACAAGATCATGTTTTTCTCTGACGACTATTTATGACACTAAATCAATTGGACGTGTACTGATTGATATTTAAGTTTTGGATACATGATTTTTTTATTAGTTGGTATTGGCTTTGAACAAGCTTTCAGTAACTCCGAGTACTCTCAGATTGGTACTTTGTGTCTAAAAGTTTTTTTGTTTTATTTTGCGTTTGTGTTCTCTGTGTCGATCTCATTAGTTAAGCCTTTTCAACTGATGTTTATAGTTTGTTCTTATGTTGTGCTGTTGTTCCGCTGTCACAGTTGCCATGATGGGGGAGAGTTTGACACCCGCACACTGTACGTACTGTATTTTAAGGTGACCTACAGTTGCCAACTTCTACATCAGTTGGTCTTTGGTTGAAAGTTGTGAATAGTGTCATTGGCAATTATACCATATCTCCTATTTTAAAAATGTTGTCAATTAATATTTATCTTTATAAAAAAGAAAATATGTCATTCAATATTTTTTTTAACTTTTTTATTTTTTATTGTCACTTTGGTTCCCTCTGCCTCTTTTTTTACATGTACTCTATATTTGTTTTGTTGCAACTTTTTACAGGGATTTATCACTACAAAAAAAAATATCACGTTTCAGTTTTGGGTTCGCTTGAAAGTTGTCATAAGTTATCCCGCTTTGTCTGGGTAACAACACGTTCGGTAAATATAAATTAGACAATAAATGTAAATCGATTGACATTTAAACATTACAAAAAAATGTCCCAAAATGTCTACAAAACATGGCACACTTAGTAAAACAAGGGAAAAAAAAGGCATTTAAATAAAACAAGTTAACGAGTCTGAAATCGTTGATGTAGTGAAAAATCGCAATTCGTTCAGTGGCAAATATTTCATGCATATTCATTCAAAACAATTACCTTGGTTCTTCAAAAAGAATTTGAACTACAATTGAAAAAAAAACTGGAATGTTGTGTAGGGACAGAAATTTTGCAGTAAAATAGTTCACGTACGAACTCGTTAAAGAGTCATTCCAACGGTTCTATTACATGAAAAGAAGGTGGAACTCTTAGACGTCGAGCATAACAGTCAACGCCCTAAATGTGATCCGCCCTTGACTGCGTGTCTTTATATCCCGCACATTCAACAGGTCATTCCTGCCCTCTACACAGGTCTTACTCTCGCAAGGTAAAAATTTATGTTGCCAAACCTTAGTTAAGTTACATTTTTTTGCAAGAATAGTAAAAGTGGATTGTAAGAAGCTTGAAAACATTAAAGACCTCCAGTTCTACACCCCAATGTTAAAGCTTCTTAGAAAGACACGTAATATGAACCTAAAAGTTATAAAACATATCATTTACGAGCGACAAACAATTTTGTTCTATTTAAATTTACCAATAAAATTATGCATCTATTGGTACTTAATTTAATTTTAATTTTTATGCAGCAACGATCTTTAATGGTGCGTACAATTTAACTATAAATCAATTATTATGTTTTAAAAATATATAGGGCTGGATAAAAGATGTTTAAAAACTTCCGCTTTATTATTTGTAAACTCGCAATATCATATTTCAAAATCAAATGAAATTTGATAAATCCTGAATATATAATACCGTAGGTATGTCAGTTATAACAATAGTAGTTAATAATAGTTGTTGAAAACGCACAATGGTGTCACTAAATAGATATCAAAATAAAAAGAACAGAAAATATTTCAATGAAAATTTCTTTGACTTATGATTTTTTTTATTGTCCCTTTTGTGTTTTCTGTCTCTTTTTTCACATGTACTCTGTCTGTAGTTCTGTTGTTTATCTTGACAGGGATTTATAAATGAAAAATACCACATTTCAGTTTTTCGTGAAAATGTTGATTACCAGGTACACTTAAGTTTGAGAATTGTCATAAGTTATCCCGCCTTGTCCAGGTAACAACACGTTTGGTAATTTTAATAAATGAGAAAACACGAAAATCAATTGACATTTAAACATTAAATGGCAAAGAGTGTCAATTAACGTCTACAAAACATGGCACACTGTAAATAAAAATTAAACAAAACAATTCTATTATACCAAAACATGTTAACGTATCCTTCTTCGTTGATGTATTGAAAGTTGCATAGCGTCCAGTGGCAAATATTTCATTCATATTCACTAAAATCAATTACCTAAGTTCTGCAAAATATATAGAAAACGTTACCTACAATTGAAAAAAATCTGCATGGAATGTCCTGTAGGACAACCATTTTGCAATAAAACAGGTCACTTAATTACGGAACCGTTAAAGAGTCATTCCAACGGTTCTGTTACACGAAAGGAGCGTGGAACTCTCTCAACATGAAACATATATAACATTCAACGTCCTACATCTGAACGCACGTCGTGACTACGTATCTACATATCACGCATATTCAACCGGACATCCCTGTACTCAACATAGATCTTACTGTCGCAAGGGAAAAATTAATTTCGCCATACTTTTTTACAGAGTTAAGTTTAGTTAAAATATAATGTATTTGCAAGAATAGCAAAACGAAGATTGTAAAGAAGCTATAGAATTAAAGACGTCCATGCAGTCTACCCCCTGTGGTTAAAAGCATCTGCTGCAGAAAAATTGGTACCGTAAATGTTATTTGAAACTCACGTAAGAAGAACCTTTAAAAAATTAACATACGGACAATGGAAAATAAAGTCGACAATTATATTGTTTTTGATAACTGGTGTGCGCAGAACATGTAATCTCTATCGATAGACTGAAAGAAACTCTTTAATAAGTTATCTCCCTTTGTGCTTCACTCAAAACAAGCACTTAGACATAAAAGGAGAGCGGTTGAGCGATTGATTGCTGTTTGCTTAAAGTCAATTTGCAAATATTCATGACGTGTTTAGGTCGAGAACAAATTAAACGATACATCAGCATGTTGTCTGCTCTATGGTCGGTTGTTGTCTCTTTGACACATTCCCCATTTCAATTCTCAATTTTATCAAATAAGTATAGGGACAACAAATGTAGTACAAAGTGGGACGTTCGTCTACTGCCCCAGGATGTAAGACGGGGAATTTCGACTGACATTGGAAAAATATGAAATATTGGATAAGGATAAATATTAGGTTTTTCAATGAGGTTATATACGGATCCATCAAACTGTTGTCGCAATGAAAGTTTAACGTGAGGAGAGCATGGTACTCTTTCAACACAGGGTACCAGATTTAGTGACCACCTTGTAACTGGACGTGGCTGCGTATTCATACATCCCAAACAGCCAGACAGGAGAAGTTCAGATATCTATACTTTTATTCCGCAGTCACTTACTGGGTCAAAAATTAAGGGATCGATACTTAAATTCTAGAAAAAGGTGCGACAGTTTAACGTTGAAAAACGTGAAAAAACGAGATGCTGTGTAAAATATTAGCGGGTTCATTTCATATAACTTTCTCAATGTTACTCAAGGTGTCATGACATTTCACAATAGCGTAGTGATTAGTCACATACCAGTGACTACCAGTACAAAATGTAATAACCTGTTATCTCTGGCTCGATGGTAGTATTATAGTAATCTACCGTTCCGCTTAATACATTTGATCAAAATAATGTACACATCTTTTGTTTTAAAAAATATAACACTGTCGTCTTAAACTTTCATATTTAACGAAGACATATGAGACAGAGGTCTCAGAGGGGGTGTATAAAGGAAGAAGAAAAATAAAGTGTGATTAGATTTAGGAATTAACGTTTTCAAATCTAATCATTTTGAATGAAAATCAAAATCTTGTCAACTTTTATACAGGAAACATATTGTAGAAGGGGCTCACCTTTCAAGTATTCGAACTCCCCCTTGTTAGAACACGAGTATCACCCTGGTGACTTTATAACGTAATTCCTCAATGGCGATCTTCATAGGATTTTTTACAGATTTTACTTATCTTTGCAGTATCCATTAAAGATAATCAGGTAGAGTGATGGTTTCTACTTTTAAAGCAGTGCATAATTCATATTTATGAATTCATTTATAAGGTTACATAGCTATGAATTCATTTATAAGGTTACTTAAGCCCCCGTCACACTAGACCAATACCAAAAAGATCCCACTACGATCTATAAAAAAATAAGATTGCGGTGGGATCGTGGTATTGTCGGCTTGAATATTCAATATTTCATAGTTTTCACGTTCATACCACGACCTTGCTACATGTATGATCCTGATAAGATCCTGCTACGATTCCGCTACGAAAGTAACACGTTCTAGTTACGATCTTGTCACGCTTATGCTACGTCTAATAAGACCTTACCACGACTTACACGATCTATGTACGCTTCTAACAAGACCTTCCCGATCGCATTACGATCCCAATACGAGTCTACTACGATCGAAACACGACTCCTCTACGTTGTCACTGCGTTCTAGAATATGGCTTCATCAAATAAGTTCTCAACCCAAATGCGTTGTCATCCAAGATGAAGTATGGCATGTTCAGGTCGTCATTAGGTAAGGGATCTGACTCTGGAAATCCAATAGTATTATCTTCCAAACACTCCTTTGATTCTGACACGTTGTAAATCTGGGCGTCCGACATGGAACCATATCCTCCTACATCTATCCATAAAAATTCGTAGTCTACATCCACCAAGGCAAGGAGCACTAATAAAAAAAAACCTTTATAGTTATGAAATAAGGATCCGCTTTAAAGCGGGCTTCTGATAGCAACATGCTTTCCATCAAGTGCGCCACAAGCCTGTGGCACGTTCCATCTTCTCTGAAATTCATTTGGTTTTGTTGGACAGGATATGGCTTCATCTTAATATTCCTGTACAATTACCTGGCAAACCTCAAGTTAAAAGTACTTATAGTATTGCGTGCGTCTCTGACATTGTACTGAAGGGTTGGATACCTATCAGTAGAAGCTAAGTGATTTAAGGTAATAACAAAAAGTAAAATAACTAAAATACCGAACTCCAAGGAAAATTCAAAACGGAAAATCTCTTATCAAATGGCAAAATTAAAAGCTCAAACACGTCAAACGAATGGAAAACAACTGTCATATTCCTGACTTGGTACAGGCATTTCCTGATGTAGCAAATGGTGGATTAAACCTGGTTTTATAGCTAGCTATACCTCTCACTTGCATGACAGTCGCATAACTTTCAGACCGAGATTTAGTGCCTTTCTGAATCGGGTGAATATCTTCTGAATTCGAGGACTTAATCTGTTCAAAAGTTCATCAAACGTTTCTGGAGGCATCCTTGAAAAATTAAAGAATGACTGTTGATCCTCTATCCTTAATTCTTTCATAAGTCGGTTGCAATGACCAAACTGAAGTCTTCTTTCAACTGACAGCCAAGGATGCACCCAAGAAGACCTACGCTGTCTAGTATGTCTTCTCCGATCCTTCTTATGACTAAAAGTTTAGCTGATCAGCCAAATCGATACAGTGCAGCTGAGTTAAAGATTACAGAAGTAGGTTTTGCTTATGTGTGTCCATGGTTGAACTACAGGTAGAAGTTATTGCATCCGTTTTAAGCTCACCTTTCCAAAGGAAATGTGAGCTTTTGCCATCACTTGGCGTCCGTCGTCGTCGTCCGTCCGGTGTAAACTATTTCGAACATCTTCTCCTCTGAAACTACTGAACCAATTCCAACCAAACATAAGCTGAATGATCCTTAAGGTATCTAGAATAAAGTTTGTGTTTTATTTTCTGTTTCGTAAAAAAAACATGGCCGCCATGTTTAAAAATAGAACATTGGGGGGAAAATGAAGTTTTTGGCTTATATCTCAAAAACTAAAGCATTTAAAGCAAATCTGACTAGGTTAAAATGTTCATTAGATCAAGTTCTACCAGCCCTGAAATTTTCAGATCAATCTAACAACCCATTTTTGGGTTGCTGCCACTAAATTGGTAATTTTAAGGAAATTTTGCAGTTTTTGGTTATTATCTTGAATATTATTATAGATAAAGATAAACTGTAAACAGCAAAAATGCTCAGCAAAGTAAGATCTACAAATAAATTTTATATGACCAAAATTGTCAATTGACCCCTTAAGGATTTATTGTCCTTTAAAGACAATTTTTCACAATTTGTTCATCTAGTTTGCTTACTTTTAAAAATCTTCTCCTTTGAAACTGCTGAATTTTGGCAATTTCAGCCAAATTTGGGCTGAATGAGTTTTAGAGTATCTAGTATAAATTTTGTATTTTATTTCCTAAATGTACGTCAAGAATGGCTATGACTAAAATTGAACATAGGGGTAAAATGCATTTTTTTTACTTTTGAAGAAAATATGACAGATACAAAGAACATTTAAATGGCATTTTTAAGCCACTCATTAATATATATTGAAAAGCAAAAATAATTATTGATGAAAGATTTAAGCAAAAAATTACACGTGAGCGATTCAGGCTCTTAGGAGCCTCTTGTTTATATCAACAGAATGAGGTCGTGCAATTATCGTGGCCATGACATAGGAGTATCGTAGTAAAGTCGTACTAAGGACCGCAAGCGCGTAGTAGCGGCGTACTATTGTCTTCCTCGTATTAATATCGTAGTAGAAGCGTAATAAAGACGTAGTGAAATCGGGATATTCGCAGTGAAATCGTAGTAGGTTCGCAGTGAAATCTTTTCTATTGGCTTTCCGATTGCAACACGATTTCCGATACGATGCTTCTACGCCCGTCCCGATCTTACAACCTTCCTACGCTTTTGCTACGACTAGTTTTGGCCACGACTGCTCTACGACTGTTTTGAGCATGTTCAAAGTTGGTCGTTGACCTTCACGATCATGAAGACCTTGGCACGTCATACTACGACCCTACCACGACCATCACGATCTTACTACGACTTCCAGAACTGTTCATAATTTCTGAGGTCGTAGCGGGATTGTGGTCCTAGTGCGATGGGGGTATTAGCTATGAATTCATTTTTAATGCTTATTTTGATCTCCAGAATTTCTTAAAGTCGACTGGTTGTTTTTTTTTTCAATTAAGGATAAATAATATTAACCTATAGCTGTACAATGTAACCTATGGGAATGCAACAAGAGTATAAATCCCCATAACCGAAAATTATACCATAGCTATCTATGGTATAATTTTCGCAATTATACCATGGTTTTGTTGGATGTGGTCTTCGAAAAGAAAAAAAGATAGGGAGACCTGGCGTTGGCCTCTTAAATTTTTTGACACAAGAACAACAGAGTCAGTGCGGGGCCACTAAGCTAAACTGCCCGCTTTTCACCAGCCGATTTAAATGAATGCCTAGGGTGGGAATCGAACCCACGTACACTAACTCCGTTGTCCTATATTTTAAAATAAACAAAAATTTCCTCTCAAAACAACAAAACGAATAGTTTAAAAAATATATATAATATATATTACTTGAAAATATCAGCTGATTTTCAATTATTGAAATATATACTTAGATTGTATCCTCTCCACTGTACAGCTACGTGTCTAGATTTAAATTTACCGAGGCTTTTTTTAAGAAGGATGGAAAAGTGCACGCCCCTTTTAAGGCGCTTGATATATATGATACATACATTAGACTTTTTATAACAATAATATTGGACCGTTAAAATTAGATATAAAGCAACTGGTTACTCAAAATGAAGCTCAACTTTTTGTATAAATGACCTATATAATCAACATGTGATTATAATCATGTTCATTTTGAAATCCCTTTTAATTAATGTACGACTTTAAAAGCTCTGATGAAATTAATTTCCTCGTTGTTAAAAATTAAGGTTTATGACCCCTTCTGTAGCCATGTAAATTACGAAATTTTAAACTGCAATAGTCTCAAAACAGCAAAGATAATGAATAATAGAGATGGGTCATATTGTACATATACTAAGGGGTAGCTTCGTGCAAAGCATTATTATTTATTGTTTCATTGCATTCAATAGAAAACGAGGATTTTGCGGAAAATAAACCCAAGATTTTTGTGGAAAATCCACAGACTTTAATACAGAGATTTTTGATAATTTTAAACATAGATTACTCACTTGTTTTTCTATGATGTGCTAGTGTTAATTGTTTACAAAAAGTCCTAGAGTAAAACAATCTTTAAATTAAAAAAAACTCGTGCTGCGTCAATAAAGTCGAGCGCACCCTAGAAGGTGTACTTGAATTGGTCCATATTTATATATGTTTTAACTAATATCTAAATTTATAAACTTGTTTTAAGGAAATCATTGCTAGCACTGCATGCAATAATCATCTTTTATCAAGCACCGAATTGCCAAATATGAGAGTACAAGTGGAAAGACTGAATTTTCTATAAAATTTCCATATGTTTAGCATTGAATCAACACAAGGGTACATAATCCTTAATAATAAAAACAATTTAACATTTCGATCGTAGAGATAAAATAAATAAAAACGAACCCTAAATCTGGGATTCCAGAGAGCTTCCAAATATCAGAAAATCTGTGCCTTACCTTGCGTCCATATCCAGAAAATCGAATTCCTTCACCATGTTTTCGTCTAGATCTGTAACATTATCCGCCACCAATGTAATTGTACATCCTTCGGTGTCGAAAATTCAGGTCTAACTGATATTCCCGCGGTTTCAGAATCCCGTGCATATTTAAGAAAGTAGGCGGAGCTTTGTGTGTAAGGCCCGAAAATGGTTATTTAGCTGATTCTTAACAAAATTATTTTTAAATTAAACATACAAAAATATATGAAGTATCAAATTTTAAACATTAAAAGATGATATAGGTTAAAACAGATATTTCATATTTTTGGATAGTTTTGCGATGTTTCGTAAATTATACCATAGTTTTTGTTGAAACCCCCCGGCAACCTCACTCGACCTTCGGTCTCGTGAGGTTAAGGCCGGGGCTTTCAACAAAAATCTATGGTATAATTTACGAAACACCACAAAACTATCCAAAAGATATGAAATATCTATAACTTAACAGCTATTTAAGTTTTTATGAGAAGAAAGAAAAAATAATAAATTCATCAGTTTAAAACTTTAAAATTAGGAACTGCAGAAAATATTTTTCCAATCTTACTAAGTTAAACTGAACCAAGAATCGTAATAGTAAATCTGAAGAAAGATACGTGTATAAGTTTATGACACGAATCCCTTACACGCATTAGTAAAAATCAACGGAACAACGATTATATTGCTGTTCCTAATCTGAAAATAGCAATGAAGCCTTCAATACGAAGCAAAATTTGACACCTTTTTTAGTGACGGATCTCAACACCAGTTAAGTTGGATTCTTTGCTCTTTTCGTGAGTTTTACCGACGCTATCATGACTTGGTTGAACGACCGTTACAAAATATCCCTTTGCAGTAGTCACTATTCCATCCACATGTTTTGGTTTGTGATATTTCACTAAATATAAGGTTTCATTGGAATTTTTAGTGTAATGTTTTGTGAGCTGTTTGTATTTTTGTCGTTAATTTCTTAAGGCTACTGTATTGTCTCTCCTTATGACTTATGAAGAAGTTTCTTATAAAAGTTAGCTTATTTCATTTACTTCTTAAAACATGCGTATGATTGTTTTTATATCTACAGTTCGACGTGATTTTTCGTGGAACACATGATAGTATATTGACAGCTGACGAAAAAAATAACAATTTCTTACAAAAATCATATTTAAAGTTTGGTACGAACAATGTACGGTAACCGTTTAACTCATAAGTAAGAAGACTTTCAGTCGTCTAATTTTAAAGAAACAATAAAAGAGTCAAAATTATAGGAAAAACATTCGCGCATTTTCCTTCAAATACTTTTGGAACAAACATGTATTTTGATATTAGTTTTTCTTCTATTCCAGAATATATTAATGGAGGAAGAAGAAGATTCAAGAAAGATGTCTGCGACATACGTAAGAAGTACCAAGGAAAGCACAGTAGATTTAAGTGACATTACAGAGGAGTTTCTAACATGCCCTATTTGCACCGAGGAGTTCGCGGATCCCCGGATGTTACCGTGCCTGCATTCTTACTGTCATCATTGCATCTCGGATTACATTGTTGAGAATACACGTGAGGTTAAATCAGCCAAGTCTTTCGCGTGCCCTGTCTGCCAGGCTAACGCTGAAGCCACCAATCCAATGAATTCGGTACAAACATGGGCAGATGATCTTCCTGTAAATAACTTTATTTTTGGGCTGATAGATGCAATTCAGTTACGGACAGGCGAGCGACAGTGTGACCCTTGTAAGAAAATGGATAAGTCAAATATGGCTACCATTTGGTGTCATCAGTGTGGCGAGGCAATGTGCGACTCGTGTACGGGACTACATAATAGTATGAAATACTCAACGGGGCATATCACCTCGGATATAGACGAAGTAAAACAAACTCCCGTGAAAACTACCCAGTTGAGATTGCAATGTCCTAAACATGAAGCAAAGTTCTTAGATTATTATTGTTCCGATCATGGAGAAGTATTGTGTACATCATGTGTGACATCAAGTCATAGAGATTGTAAGAGCGTACAATTTGTGAGTGAGGCTGCCGCAACGCTGAAGCATGATGGTAAATATATCTTGGATAACCTTTCCAAAATTACAGAATGGTCCGTTCGAGTTATGGAAAACAGAAAACAATGTCTAAAGGAAATCCAAGGCGCAGCAGATTCGGTTAAAGACCAGATAAAAAGCATTAGAAATAGAGTGAACGCTATTCTGGATGTACAGGAGAAAAAGATGATAGCAGAACTCAAACAACACGAGCTGGAGGAAGCTGAAAAGTTCGAAAAGGAAAAGAATCGCTGTAAGGAAATTATAAGCGTTACGAGGAATGCGAATGCTCTCTTGAAAAATTCACTTAAACACGGGACTGATACCGACGTCTTGTCTTGCATGGCCAAAATAAAAGCAGCAACGCGAAAACACGAAAAGGAGGTCCGAGATCTTTGTAAACGTCTCAATACTGTCCAAATTGAATTTCGTGAAGATGAATCGATAAATGAAATGCTGGCACGTCTTGCGGAAGAGGTCGGACATTTTTCCGTATCTCACCAGACAGTCAATATCCCTCCATCTTACCATGTGAGGTCAGATACAATATTCATTACACAGAATGAAGACGACGAAGGTGATGAAGATGAGCAATATTTGTCAAAAAATGCAACTCCATTTGGTGGCAAAGAATCTTCTGCGAGTAAAATGTCAAAACCCTCACATTCAACTATTAATGGAGCTAACTCGGTAAGGACGGGTGGGAAAAGTTCTGTTAATTCGAAACGAAGAGGGTCCCAAAATCACAATTTTAAAGGTCAAGGTCATTCATCAAAACCCTTTTTGTATTCTGCTTCAGCTCGGGGTTCTCTGAAAAAGGGAAAGATATACTCATCTCAGTTACTACCTATTCCTTCCTCAAGAATGAAAGAAGATAGTAATAGAACTCAGGAAACATCCTCTGAAAGTACAAATTGTTCACCTCAGCCATCAGCATATCGTCTTAGCGGGACCACTCGAATAAGTGGAGATATCTCAGCACGAGTCAACTACACACCAATATCACCGGGGAAACTACCTACTGTTCGGAAAGGAGCAATTAAACGAGCACTCCCAGATACTACCTTTGTTGCCCGCACACCAAATGACCGTGATAATGTCTGTTTGACGGGGGCTACGTTTTTATCCGATGGAAAAATTGTTCTGGTCGATCAAGTTCACCGGAAGATAAAGCTGTATGACGACATGCAACGATGGGTTTCTGAGAAAGTCTTGTCAGCACGGCCTTATGACATAACTGTAATTGCACCTTTCGAAATAGCAGTCACTATTCCCAAAGAGAAACGTGTTTTACTTTTTTATGTGCGCGATCCAGAAATATCTGTATCGTCAAGTTTTCAAACAGGATCGAAATGTTGGGGAATAAGTTCATCTCAAGGCACTATTGCAGTTTCTTGTTACACAGCTCCGCCATGTGTCAAATTGATGACCCGCGATGGCAGAGAAATAAAGACAATTAACGCTGACCAATACGGCCACCAGTTATTTTTCTTTCCCGAATATGTTGCGTTCGATAATATAGGGGAAACCTTGTACGTAACAGATAGGTATAAAAAGTCCGTTATTTCTGTGACCGTCCGTGGTGAGAAACGATGGGAATCAAAACCAAATTCTCTGAAGGCACCTCGTGGAATAACTGTACACGGAACACGCGTGTACATTGCTGGGAGCAGATCTCACAATATCTGTGCTATGACGACCATGGGAGAAATGTTGGGTGACGTGATCAAACAAAACCTGTCATCACCTCACAAAGTGTGTCTGAACTCACAGGGTGACACAATGCTTGTGACACAACATGCTGTAACATTGATACCGGTTGAGAAAAACACTGTTAAGCTTTTCAAATTGCAAAACGATTGGCGTGACAATTTTACTGACACAGATTCAAAAATTTCGGATATAATTGAATGACTTTAATTTCGAAAATCTATTTACAATATAATATTATGAGGGTCTGGTGGGGTTTACAGAATGGAGAATAATGGGCCAAATCTACAGAAAAATGGGCAAAAAAAAAGATTATAGAATAATGGGGTGCTAAAATATAAAGAATAGAGAAAATTATAAAGAATACAGAAATGAAAGACCCCCCCCCCCCCCCCCACCCTGGATAAACATATATACAGATAAGATAAGATAAGATATGTTTTATTCCAATTAAAGGGCCCACGAAGAGCAACTAATTTATTATATTGACACAATATAATTTTGAAATCGTATATAAAGTAATTTATATTCATCGATCATAGTATATTCACATTTCTTAATCAATTTTTTCCGGACAAACAACGCGGGTATATTCAAGCTACTGAGGATTTAAATATTGTCTTAACATGTTTTTATTCATTGCAAGTAGTGTCTTAATTGTGTTGAATTTACTGCAGTAAAAATATCTGCATATTGACTTAAATTCTTTACGTGACTCAATTAATTGTTATCAGTCCTTTGAAATCGGTTCAAAATAATTGTTTCAAATCAAAATTTGCTTATTTATTGAGAAAGAAGAAGGTATCATTACGTCAGAACCTTAAAGTACACAATTGATGTGGCTCTACTGTGTTTCGTTTGTAAAGAGTCAAAGACTTCTTTGAAATGACCCTGTAGTTGAAAGTTGACCCTTCCGGTTTTAAATGAAATACTATCATAATGATATATTTTGTAACTGTTGTATTATCATGATGATATTATTGTAATTTATTTATATTGTGCATCAATTATTAAATCATAGTTTTGATTATTTATATGCATTATTTTTCATATTGTTTCCTACATAGAATAAGGACACATTTGTCCACAGAAAAATATTGTATATATAGATAAGAAGATGTGGTATGAGTGCCAATGAGACAACTCTCCATATAAGTCACACTGTGTAAAAAGTAAACAATTATAGGTCAAAGTACGGTCCTCAACACGGAGCCTTGGCTCACACCGAACAGCAAGCTATAAAGGGCCCCAAAATGACTAGTGTAAAACAATTCAAACAGGAAAACCAACGGTCTAATCTATATAAAAAACGAGAAACGAGAAACACTTATGAACCACATTTACAAACGACAACCACTGAACAACAGGCTCCTGACTTAAGACATGTACATACAAATGCAGCGGGTTTAAACGTTTGAGCAGGCGCCAATCTTGTTTGTTTGTTGTTGTTTTGTTTTGTGTTTTTTTGGAAGAAGGGACAAATTATTCCCGGTGAATCGAAAACAAAAGATATGTTACCAGAATTCTTCTTGCGACTACGTTTAACAAAAGAAAGTAGTTAGTTTACTTATTTAATGAAAAAAGTTATTTTGAAACCTCATTTATACTTATTTTTACTTATCTGTAAATATAAGGTATTTGCAATATATGTGCAAATACTTAATATATCGTATTTTGATTATTATTCGATAAGAAAAATGCATTCACATACTTAGCTTGTTCAGGAACATATATATTGTTGGTGTTAATGTTTCCTACGCATAGATAATAAATCTGGACATAAAATATACATAATATTAAGTTTTTTTGTTACATAAAAACTTGGCGGATGACACCAAAGGGGACACTCAAAACTCATAAGTCGAAAATAATTTGACACGTTCATGGCATTAAAATCAAAAGTCGATTAAAAGACAAAAAATCCACAAAATATAACATAAAAAACTCAAGACTGAGCAACATGAACTCAAAATTTCATTTAATATTTCGAGGAGTTGTTGGTGTAGTGAGGTTTACTAGGTACCACTGCTAGTGATATTTGTCCAAGATTGACATCGCCACTTACCCAGATATTTCACATATGCGCTACGTTTTCTTAATTTATACGCATGGAATGTGTCCGAATGTGTGATATTAAAGAGACTATGGTGTTGTTAAAACCTCAAAGATCACCAATAAAGATGAAATAATGTAAATCTTATAGAAATAAAGATCGGAAGACTTACAAATTGCCCTTGTGTGAAATAAATTCAAAGGAAATTGGCCCGATCTCTTTTGGTTCTTAGTGAAAAGCGGATGAATAGATAAGTGTTTAATGAAGATATGTATGGCTGACGTTGCTGCGTAGTTGCATATTGTTAGCAGTCGAGTTGGAATCCTTGAAAAGAAAAAGTTAATTTGTATCAGTAGGAGAAGTGATTAAAGCAATCACTTCATGGTAATTGTATTCTTATATCCTTTTGGAGAATTTCATATTTATATCAAAGTAGTGCTTAGCACACTTAATGCAAACGTGTGTAATACTTCTAAAATTGAAATAGTAAATTTAATTGAAACAATCAAATCTGACCTATATGCATAAAGTCGGCTGATAAAAATCTGAACATATATAGAATAAATCTGATCTGACTGTGATGGTAATTTGTTTGGTATAAAGTATATGTCTGGTTTTAGTTCTAACTTCCCGGGATGGTTATTTCATGGTATACAATTGAATTAAGTTCTGACGTTCCTGGATGGTTATTGCATGGTGCACAAATATAAGTCTGACGTTCCTGGATGGTTATTGCATGGTGTACAAATACAAGTTCTGACGTTCCTGGATAGTTATTGCATGGTGTACAAATGTAAGTTCTGACGTCCCGGGATGATTATTGCATGGTGTACAAATAATTTAATTTTGGATGTAACGCGTCTTCTGATTGGCTGGCGTTGTTTTGTTTATCAGCTCATAGACATGTGACCGTGACGTCATCAACGTTTTTTCATGGTTTACTCCGGTTTAAAATGGAATTTAGAATTAAATTATAAGAAAGACTGTAATATTTTTTCTGTCTATTCGAAATAACATAAAAAATGTGGTGCACACTTTAAAATAACCCGCTACGCGGGTTATTCAGTGTGCATCACATTTTTTATGTTATTTCTTCATAGACAGAAAAAATATTACAGTCATTCCTTAGATATAAGTTCTAGCGTTCCTGGATGGTTATTGCATGGTGTACAAATATATGATCTGACGTTCCTGGATGGTTATTGCATGGTATTCAATTGAATATAAGTTCTGACGTTCCTGGATGATTATTGCATGGTGTACAAATATAAGTTCTGACGTCCCTGGATGATTATTGCATGGTTGTAAAAACATAAGTTCTGATGTCCTTGTATGATTATTGCATGGTGTACAAATATACGTTCTGACGTCCCTGGATGATTATTGCATGCTGTACAAACATAAGTTCTGACGTCCCGGGATGATGATTGCATGGTGTACAAAAATAAGTTCTGGCGTTCCTGTATGGTTATTACATGGTTGTACAAATATAAGTTCTGACGTCCCTGGATGACTATTGCATGGTGTACAAACATAAGTTCTGGCGTTCCTGGATGATTATAGCATAGTTGTACAAATATAAGTTCTGACGTTCCTGGATTATTATAGCATGGTGTACAAACATAAGTTCTGACGTTCCTGGATGACTATAGCATGGTTGTACAAATATAAGTTCTGACGTCCCTGGATGATTATTGCATGGTGTACAAATGTAAGTTCTGACGTTCCTGGAGGGTTATTGCATGATGTATAAGCATAAGTTCTGGTGTCACGGGACGGTTATTGCAAGGTATACAAATATGAGTTCGAACTCTCGGGATGGTTATTGCATGGTGTACAAATATAAGTTCTGACGTCCCTGGATGATTATTGCATGGTGTACAAACATAAGTTCTGACAGAATGATATTATTATTGTACGTTCTGACTTCCCGGGAGGGTTATTGCATGGCGTATATATGTAACTTCCGACGTCCCAGGATGGTTATTGCATGGTGTGCAAATATTACTTATGACGTCCCGGGATAGTTATTGCATGGTATACAAATATAAGTTTTGACGTCACGGAATCAGTTCTGCCAACTTTTCATGAAGCAAATGCGTGAGATTTGGCTAAAATTGTAAAGACCAAAGAGAAAAAACAATTATTATAGAACAAAGGAAAATGCCGCCAAATAAGCAAATCAATATTTCAATTCAATATTTTATTTAAGTCTCACCTCTCAATAATATATAATACAACATTACATTTAGTGTAAAAATATATAGATACAAAAAGAGAGCCATTCTGTACAGAATTATAAGAGACTATAACATTAAAAATTATAGAGAATTCGTCTATTATAAAACATATAAATAAGAACATTATTTACAGTATAAAACATTTCTACGTCTATTTAAAATAAGATTACAGGCTTTTGCACAGCTACGAATCATATTAATATCTGTAAATAAAAACACTAATTTCTGTTTATCATCAAAAGACATAAAATCACTATTAAAATGTGTTGCTTCATCAAATATTTTTTTTTCTAAAATCGTCATATAAAGGACACGATAAAATAACATGGGCTTCATTTTCTAAAATATCCTTACAACTATCACAGACTCGCTCCTCTAAAAGTATTTTTTCAAATCTCCCCGTTTCGATTCTAAATGGTGCTAAACCACGTCGAATTTTGGCAAAAGAACTCCTTTGTGGAAATGGCATTGGAATTGTACAATAAGTTTCAGATTCAAAACTATTCTTAAATAAATTATATGTTCGAAGTTTGTTACCACCTTTACCAGATAAAGCTTTCTCTGACTGTAAATTGCATTGCCACTGTTCAACATATTTACTAAACATTTTAGACATAATAGTATTGACCACTGAGGTACTATCAACATATTCTGTAATATTACACAAATGTTCTGCATTGCACTCAGTAAATGTTTTTCGTACATAAAAATTCCAATTTTTTATATACTTTTTAAGCATGATTTCATTTTTTTGTACATTAATTAGGCCGTTAGTTTTCTCAATTGAATTGTTTTACATTTGTGATTTCGGGGCCTTTTATAGCTGACTATGCGGTATGGGCTTTGCTCATGGTTGAAGGTCGTACGGTGACCTATAGATGTTAATTTCTGTGTCATGTGGTCTCTTGTGGAGAGTTGTCTCATTGGCAATCATACCACATCTTCTTTTTTATATGAAAATGCGTGAGTCTCACGCTAAATGCGTGAGACTTTGCAGCCCTGCGGAATGGTTATTGTGTGGTATACAAATATAAGTTCTGACGTCACGGAATGGTTATTGCATGGAGTACAAATATCAGTTCTGACGTCACGGGATGGTTATTGCATAGTGTATATCACTATAAACAGTTATATTACAACTGAGGAGGTGGTTATTGCAGCTAAATCTTTAAAGAATAATAAAGCAAGTGGTTCAGATTGTATTACAAATGAAATGTTGCAAATATCTTGTAATATGAATATTGATGTTTATGTAAAATTGTTTAATCTTATTCTTAAGTCTGGTATTTACCCAACTTTATGGAGAGAAAATTTTATTAAGCCCATTTTTAAGGGTGGGTGTTTTAATGATCCATCTAATTATCGAGGTATAGCCCTTTCAAGTTGTTTAGGAAAATTCTTTCTTAAAGTTTTGTATAGTAGATTAGAAAAATATCTTGAAGGAAATAAAATTATTTGTCGTGAGCAAATTGGATTTAGAAAGGGAAGTCGAACAAGTGATCATGTTTTGACTCTTAAAACTATTATTGATAAGGCATTTAAATCATCAAAAAAGATATATGCCTGTTTTATAGATTTCAGGAAGGCATTTGATACTATTAACAGGGAGGCTCTCTTTTACAAATTGTCTTATTACAACATAGATGGCCTCTTTTTCGGTATAATGAGAGATATGTATAAAGAGGTTTTGTACTCCGTGAAGATCTCTGAAGGTGTCACTGATTTTTTTAATTCCACAG